GAAAGGTTTTCAAGGCGCTCAATCACAACATCTTTCTCCCTCGCATCCAGGGCTACGTGCGCAACGATGTCTCTTCATATGCCGCCATCAGGGTCCTCAACCGGTTAGGAAAAGACAACCTCAAGGAAGCCGTCGACAAGATCCTACCAACAGTCCCCCAACTTGTGGAGAAGTCTCGGTTCAATGTTCTCAAGACACTCTTCGACCGTTGCGCAGCGAGAGGCCTGTCCGATGAGATCAAGCAGTTGATGAAGGGTCTGAGGGAAGGGTGCGGATCCGAGCCTGCTGCTCTCATCCAAACCTTATGTAGTTTGGATACCGAGGAAGAGGAAAAAAAGAAGAAGAAGGACGTCACGCAACTAACTCGAAACGAGTACGCTATCCAGTCCCACGGCGCCCAGCTCTTGGCAACGTTGCTCGACATCCCTGGCCCTTCCAAAGGTGTGCAGGAGGGACTGCTTGCCCTCAGCCCCGAACTATTGATCCGGCTTGCTACGACATCTCTTCCGACCGTCACGGTCATTACCAAGGCCCTCGCCACGCCATCATCCAACCCGGCCTTCCACAAAACTATCGTTGCCACTATCACACCTCACCTGACCGAACTGTCCTCGTCTCAAAATGGCCACAACCTTGTCAATACCATCGTGGAGATTCCTAGCAAGGGTAGGGAACGAAACGTCCCGTTCCATATAAAGGAGGGAATCATGTCGAAACTTGGTGAGATCGAAAGACAGCTGAGGGATAGCTGGATGGGTCGAAGTGTTTGGAGAACTTGGAAAGGAGACATGTGGAAGACAAGGAGGGGTGACTGGAAGATATGGATGAGGGAGGTGGATGCTGTCGAAGATGCCAAGAAGAAGACATCGGCGGCTAACAGGACAGAGTTGGGGTCTTCGAGGGCTGGCAAGAATGGGACCAATGGAAAGGCAGGTGAGGATGAGGAACAAGAAAAGGAAAGCCCCGCGGATGAACCCAAGGAAGTAAATGCGGAAGAAGAGAGCCTAGGGGCAGAGGAGGAGGAGGAGGAAGAGAAGGAGAAGAAGAAGGAAAAGAAGGAAAAGAGAGACAAAAAGGAGAAGAAGGAGAAGAAGGAGAAAAAGGAGAAAAAGGAGAAAAAGGAAAAGAAAGACAAAAAGGAGACGAAGGAGAAAAAGAGCAAAAAGAGCAAAAAGAGCAAGGCTGAGGAAGTAGATGATGATGAAGACTGATTAGTGTATTGGACCCATACATTGGCGGGCGTTTGCGGTTAGCTATTAGACTTCTTTGGCAATGATTCACGTCCCAATCGTTCACTTGATGAGACCTGAAACGCCCCTCTCGCAACCAGATTCAAGATTGCTCCTCCTGCAATAACATATTCAAGCCAGGTGCAAACGAAATCAGGACTAAACAAACCAATCTAAAACGCATCTTGGGACAGTTTTCGTCAAACATGACCTAGTAGAAACCAGTAACAGTGCCAGCCACTACAAAAAGAACGTGCTCACTCACAGACACAAGTTTGCTGCCCATATTAGGATGACAACACTGAATCACACTCGACCCGTTTCGCCATACAGATAACGAGCATTCCATATCAAACGCCTAAAAGAGCAAATTATAAAAGGTCGAACAAGCTCTCCCCTTTTTCCCCTCCCCATTTCTTCTCCCTCCTCATTACCAACATACTCCGATTCTTCCCAAGCTAATGCAAAGAATTCTCGATATTGAGCGTTGCTTTCATGCTTCTCAAACATCCTGATGTTAACGATTTCGGAAATTTTAATGGGGAAGAGTCAAGCGAGAAGATGCCGAGATCTGGATATGATGTAACTGGCTGCAGACCGAGATCAGCTGCCTACGATATCCGAACCCGCAATCGAATCAAAAACCAAAGCTCGTTAAATACGGCCACCCAAACTCAGACCAACGAGGTAGCCCCAGCCAACCACATATGGACAGCTCCTCAACCCGGGCCCATCGATGAGCAAGCTCCCTGGAGGCAGTTCAAACAAAGTGTGCAGACGACATACCGAACACGAAAGGAGTATTGCCAATAATGCTCCTGGAAGACACTACACGCTTGCCGCCAGATCCAAATCAGCCAACAGGAAAACCATTACTCTCATCTTATGGCCTTTGTCGACTTACGAGACATTTTCTAGCCCATGCAAGTTTATTGCCGAGCAGTTGATGACTGGGGCTCTCTTCACCTGGCATGATGATATATCAGCTGCTACGAATAACCCTACTGTGAGACAAAACTGGGTGTCTGGCTCGGCGTTCCTTTACAGAATTGCTCAATCCACTCGTATAACAGTAGGGCTGCCAACTCCTCCATGGAAAGGAGCCAACATGGCGAGTCCCATCTTTTAATACAGACATGAACCTTTTGATACTCCATGCTATAGAATGGAAGACAGAAACCTTTACCGCCTGCCTGCAAGGTTTTGCAAGCACGGACCTACTGATGATACCTTGTACTTCGCTTTATATCATCATGAAGTCTACTCTCTCGTTTCTCCAATCATCCAGAGCTTCACCATGTCAACGAAAGATGCCAAGTCGTTTCTCGCAGACATCCCTGACGAGAAGCTGAAGAATTTCAGAGAAGGCGAGTACACGATCGCCCAAGATTATGAGCTAGGGTTACGCCTCGACCATCAAGGAATGATGCCTCTCGACTCTAGCCTGGACTATCGACCTTCCCCTTTCTGTAACGATCATTTCCTCTTTATCTTCCCTACCACCGTCACCTCCGTCACCGTCGTCACCGTCGTCACCGCCTCCATAGCCGTCCCGTTAAAGCAGGATGTCGGTTCCCCGCCCAACGAGCACAGGACCTCGTACGAGCTTCCGTTACTAGATCCGCTACAACTATTCCACGGAATAAGCATCACTCCAATTTAGCGAGTATTGTGTTTCCTTATACAATCTGGCCATCACTTTGATCGCGGATACGGCAACATTCCGCAATTCAAGATGTTAGTCACATCTTGGGGATGTTGAGAATGCCCTCCCATATGGCCCACGAGACTTCCTTGCGGTGCTGAAGCGCTACTATTGCATAGCCCGCCAGCAACATGAGGCATTGCAACAGATTCGAAATACCTTTAAAACCTAGACTGGCATCCCATTTATTATTTCCATTATCAACAAACTTTTTCTTTTCCAGTCAAGTAAACCAGTCTTCCAGTACCCGCGCCAACCCAGGATATTCCCAGTCGAGATTTCATCGGGCTGTCCAAGCCGTCCAGGTTGACCATGCTTATACTAGAAGGCACTTTGATCATGGAAAGGTAGTCAGGGTGGAAAGCATTCTTTTACAGAAATATGAGAGGTCCACCGTCTTTCCTTCACCCCGTTTTCTAGGTCTCTCTCCCCCTACCTTGGTTTCCCTCTATACTCTGGCCGCATTCGTTCAAGAACTCGTACCGACCAGCTGGCCCTCAAGTCGGAGATCAACCTGATGGAGGAGCACGAACTGAAAGTACTGCCACGGGTGTTCAAAGAAAAGTTACTCGATTGGGCTATCTATATAGGAGCAGCAGGTATTCGTGAGCATTTGACCAAAATGATAGGCCACGATATAATAAGCTGTGCATACCAGGAAGTCAGATATACTACCGTCCTTCCACACTGGTCATACAATCCCATCTGGAATTTGGATAACTATACTTATATACTGGCACTCGCAACCAAGAACAGACCAGAGTACTATCACCTACATATCTTAGGATAGAGAATAAAGCGAGCAGCTGTATCAATATCAGAGTACATTAACAACATAGATTTCAAGTAGAACGCAACACAACGATAATTCGAGAATCAAGCCCACAGTAACAGCCATCTCAAAAAAAACGTCGAAGAAGCTATTACAGCCACCCTCACAGCCCACATCGCAGCCCACAACAACGAGCACATCGACCCCGATGCCGCTCGGATTGCCGAACTCGAATTTAAAAACGCAGAACTCACATCAGAAACAGTTCCTGAGCGACTGCGGCCAGAGTGTAGAGGAACTTTTTGAGTTCTTTCGGCAGCAGGCAGAAACACCAGCCCTTATCCGCTATTGACCCATATTCCAGAGCGAGTCCAGGACCAAAAAGACACCAATCAAACGAATCTACATACATATTCTACACATAGCGCCAGCCCGTCACATTCCACCCTTTACATTCCGTGCCTTTTGGTCCGCAAATTAAATGGCGGCGGGCGGAGCAACAGATCCTCATCCAACTTTAGTGTTTTCTTCTAGGCTTATTCTGGGGTTCTGGTCAGAACGAAAAGATTGGATGTCTCTTGTTTTTATCCGCTTAGCGGCGGCTTTGCTGGGAAGCTCTGAGGATGGTGTGGGTAGCAGTCAAGTCGCTTTTTTCCAACCGCTCGTCAGGTCACTTACAATTCATCGCTCATTTCTTAGATGAGCTGCCATTATAGAAATCCTGTTCAGTACCCTAGTTTCGCAGTGTTGCAATTGAAAAAGTGCAAAAATTATCGGTTTTATTTTGTTGAGATGAGGGTGTGCCTGAGCAGCATGTTATTAAACCATCCCTAAAACCCAGCCTTTTCCGGCCAGTGCGCCTACTCCTCCATTGTTATTTAGCCCCTTTCCCGGGATATCAAGGTACAATCGTAAAACAAATAGCAAATGCCAATAGCCCTTATTGTGATCTGGGTTCGTATGCTTTGAACTCCTTGGTCTCTCCTATGCATTGAGGACGAAGTGGCAGGTTCCAAATTCAATAGACTCCCTACACCTTATAGATTCCGGACTGAACACCTCGTGTATCCAGATACTCCAGCCTCGATGCAAACTCTTAAAAGTTGTATTTTCCATAAAACATAAAAGGGGGAAAGCTTGGAGCATGTCGTCATGAAACATCATTTAAATCAAAAAACCAACAAAACATCGCTTTGTGGTGACCTTGCCAAGGCCAAGAGGGAATAAAAATGTAATGTAAAATCAAAACAGAGGCCAGCTCGTATTCGGTCGCGGGAAATGATTGTTGTTGTAATTACTGGGCGTTGTCCCATGCATTGTCGTCAATGAACATGTCCCAGGGTTCGTCCGTTGCTCCTGGAATGGACGAGGGCTGGACAGTGGACTCGTCCCATTGCCCATTGCTTTGAAAGGAGTTCCCAAAGTTCTCAAGCTTCATCGGGAAATCGAGATCCTGATCTCCGCCAAATCCCTCGGTAGGAGGCATCCAGTTCTGGTCATATGATGAGTGGTTGTACATCCCACTGTAGTTCATCTCCCCGGAACCGCCCATCATCATCAACTTCATCTCTTGCGGCAGTTCGCTTGTAAAGGCGGAGTCCGAGACCCCCCAGTCACCCGAAGGGAAGCCGAAGGATGCCGTGGCAGGTGTATCCGGTGTCGGGCTCGAAGCCTGCGTTAATGATGGAGAAAGAGGGTTTTCGTTTGGGTTCGACTCGGTTGGAGACACCGAGGCTAGAGATCCATGCCGATTGGCTCCATGCTGATATGTGACCGGCTGAAAGTGTGGCGACATGGATGCCGGAGCGGCCGTCCGTTGTGGGGCAGCCGGCTGGTTCTCGTATGTGCCGGACTGGGACATTCGCTGGGAGAGCTGCTGTGCTTGCTGCTTCGCGTTGGGGAACGAGGCGGCAAAGAGCTGGTTGATGTTGTTCTCATTCCAATTTTCGTTGACCTTGGACATGTACGCAGACATGGCGAGCCTGCCAGTCATGTAGGCCTCGACCCGAGAGTTCATCTCTGCCGAGTTTGTCTGCATATGGGCTCCCAGAATGCGATAAGATCGGGGGAATTCATCCTCTTCTTCCTCGTACATCTCCTCTTTCCGCACAATCTCCTCGCTTATCCGGAATCCTCTGCCAGTACGCTTCTTGTGGATCTCGCTGGCCATGCGTGCAGACTGAACCCGAGCCTCGATACTTCGGTCTGCGCGTCGTGAAGCGGCAATGTATGCTCTCTCCTGGTTCTCTTCGTGAGATCTCTCAGTCTATTTATTTAACAGGTCAGTCATGCTGGCTTCAGGGCGAAGGAATAGCAAACTAATGCTATTGCACATCACCATAGTGGAGCATATGGGAGAATAAAGAAGCACGTACCTTTCGCTGAGCGGACGTGGAGTCGGTGGACATCTTGGATGTGGTGGATCCCTTGCCTGAGGCGTCGACTGATCGGCGAGGCATGATTAACAGTGATTAACCCGTGGTGGGCCACCCGGAATTGACTTCAAATTGTAGCGATACCCCTGCTAGAGTGCGATGCGATGTGTTTGTCGCGGAAAGATGCGTGCAGAATGCGATCCGTGGGGAATCAGCTAGAGCAGCAAAAATTGGAAGTCGTAAATAATGGTATCTGTGAGGGAGCGCTGCGCTTTGCCTTTATGGAAGCGGGTCGTCTTTACCAGAGAGGAAACAACGAATGGAGAGAAAATGGTGGCAATCGAGCAGACACGACCTAATTGATATGATACTGTGTCGGCGGTAAGGTGCAGCCACAAGAGGAAACAAATTGTATGTGATTTGTATAACCACCAATGTGAATGGCAATTGTAGCTGGAAGGTGAGTGACTTGGTGTGAATCGAAATTAGAGGTAAGTTGGGAGGCGATATGGCAAGCAGGAGAGTGACTGCGTGTGTGGCAGCTAGAGGAGAGCGTGGTACATACTTTTATAGAATCACGTACATTTTGCGCTGGAGAAGACTCCAACGCCCGTAACCATGGAACAACAGCTCACATAACCGATCAGATCATTCTTTTCGATCTGTGGCCGTGAAGGCCGGGGCAGATTCCACGGGCTTTGGCGATCGATCTCGATGAGAGCATCTGCTGTTAGCGCCAGCTAGGACCACTTGTAGCGCATTAGTACTGGTTAGTGCAGGCCCAAAGTCAGGACCAGTACCGAAGCCCGCTAGCTGGTCGCTCCTCCCCGATGCAGGCTGGCCCCACATGCCTCAGTAGCTGCCGAATAGGAGCGAGAGGGCAGGGGGCCTCTTGATCGGATCCCAGCGGACTGGGGACGAGGAGACAGAGTTCACGGTTGCAAACGAAACCAGCAGCGTAGCTAACCGACGCCTCCCGCCAGCACCACCTCGCTTTGGACGTGGACGGGCGTCGTCATACAGCCCTGGGCATTCCGAGGGCTCTGAGGCACTGGCTGACACTGTGCCTGCGTCCGGGTGCCTGCGCTGCCTGCCTGGGGAATGGTGATGGGGATTTTGTTTGCCTGCTTGTTTGCCTGCCCTCCACCTGCTCTCCCAAAATCGACCCATCCTATATCCCATCGAGGATTTCTTAATCCATGGGCTTCCCCTGCCTTCCCACCCGCCATCGTTGCCCCGGCTAGTGGTGGAACTTGGGCGGGGCGTCGTGGTAGGAAGAGCTCGGTGCCAGAATCGCCAACAGCCTCTGCCGTCAGCTTGCTGCAACAACCAAGGAAAGTTCCCTTGGGTGCCAGGCACTCTGCCACGATTTGTCCTCACCTTCTAGCTTGAGCACGGCCAAAAGGACCGGCTCCTTCATACGGCGCTACTAATTAGGGTTGGTCCTGAGCTGTTAGTACTGTCCCGACAAAACCTGGGAAAGTCAAACGCCGAAATCCGACATGCATCGCACCTAGTCTTGCGTCTTGCGCGCGCGGACACCGACGATTGTCGGTTATTTAACCACCAGAGATCGCGCACTAGGGCTCGCCTGGTTCTTCGATTGTAGGCGATTCACATCTACCTGAGTTTCAACGCCCGCTCCGTACCCACTGGCCGGTAACGAGCCCATGTAGTACCAACTAGTAAGTCGAATCTCACGCAAACTCACATTCGATTTGGTGAGCTAGGTCTGGAGGCTCGCTCGATTGGTCCGCTCCAATCGATCCATGCCATCTTTCTTGGCCTTGATGGTTGCACTTGGTGACATTGCATTGCCGCCTAAGGTCATGCATGTGCACAGTTCCAAACCCCCCTTTCTTCCCAGCATTTCCCCGCTATGCTGTTGTCTTAGCCTCTGTTGGCGATGGACAAATGAGTGCAGACCTTGCTGGCACAGTTTCAGCTAGTTGATCGGAACCATGCGCCGCCAACATGGGTCGCAACCAGCAGTACTACCAAAAGCACGCTGGACGAAATGAAACCTCCGACAGGATGCTACGCCCGGTGTTCAAGCAAGCCTGTCTCCTTTGAGCAACGGTGAGCTCGCAGCAACGGCACAGCTGTAGCTATTGCTAGCTAAGCTGTCCCAATCGCGGTATTAGCTGGTGATCGCACTGTACTTGCATTCCGAGCGGAGCGGCACTGTCCTGATCGGGGCGGGAAGAGGACCGGGGAATGCAGCGGGACTTGTCCCCCTTTCAAACTTGGATCAATAGTTTTGAATAGGTCTCATCCTTGGGCCTTCATCAGGTTGTGACAATGCAGGTCGCCTGTTTCTCTCCCTATCCCTCTGCCACAGTTGGATAGATGTCCTTATCTCTTTGCCTTTATCATCTGCAGAAGGTCTTTAGGGCCACCCTTAGCGGACATGTGGGAGCGTTGCCAGTTCACGTGGGTTGTAGATCAAACACGCGTATGGACAACGGCAGCTATATCCAGCGCATTGTGCATGCCAGTGCATACGAATACCAGCAACCAGAAGCTGCATTATGCTGGCTCCCTCGGTTTGGGCACCCCACGGCAATATGATGAACCTTGTGTGGCTTGCCTTAGCTCAGCCAACTGTCCTCGAATCATATCGCCGAGAGCGCATGCCTGGCCGGAGCAAAAGACCCGGCGACACCTATGATTCCTGTTGCTGCGTCTCTCATGCCCCTACCAGAGGCGGGTGTTACCCCAGTCCAATTCATCTGCCAACTATATCTCCTAAGCCGCCCGGAAGAGAAAACATCACCTCATTCCATCTGGATCAATCAAGGAACAATGCAGTCACGCTCATATTTGTGCTTGGTGGCCTTGGGTACGGAGACTTTCCTCCGCCACCATCGCCCTCGCTTGGGCTGACAGCTGGTACCTCTGCACTACAACATAACACTAACAGTGGGTCCCCACCACGGCAGGCAACCAGCCACAGCAGCAACCAAAGTGTGGCGCAACCACAGTTATTGTGTCAGCTGCTTCTGTACAGAGCGTGTCGATCTCCCTTCCCACGGCTCCGGGAAAGTCTATCATGCCAATCCCCATGCTCTGGATGCTAACCCCTCATCTCATTCATACATCATACCAAGATTTCCCCTCTCGCGAACCCCGATTTTTCAGGAATTCCATATTTCTCCTATCCCCCAATCATAGCCCAAGGCCATCTTACAAACACGCGCGGCCGCATGATGTCACATCAACGCCCCCCCCAACCGGCGTCGATGCCAAGTGAAAGCGTAATGTCCTAGCATCATGGCATTTTCGGGATTATCGCATCCACAAGTTCTCGCTTCGAAGCAGCGGCCGCTCCTAAAAATTGCCTACCACTAGATCTTGCACCCAATGTTATTGGGAGTGGCAAATGTCAACCCTCGGCCCTCGCGCTCCAAACTTGAATCTTGTTGCCTCATTTCAGTGTGCCCGACGATCACCTATACTGGTATTAACCTTGTGCTGAGAAAGTTCGCCTCTTTATTCCCGTAACTTGTACCAAGTCCCTTTCAAACTTTACGCGAACTCGTTCATATCACTCGATTCCGAAATGTTGCAGCCACTCAATGTGCGGTTGAAGGAGGCATTGTTTGATTTATCATCAATGAAACTCGCTAGGGTTATCCGCGATATCACTACGGTGCTGATTACCTACTCGCTAAACTAAAGTCAGTTCCAAGTTTCTTATCCGTGTCTTGACCATATGTAGTCTTGCCTAAAATCTGTTCTACAACGAGTATTCCTCCGGTAGGCGTATGGCATTTGCCTTCTCGGCCACATTTCTTACCAGTAGCCACGCCTGTACAGTGTTCATTATTGATCAAAACAATCTCCTCCGTGTTTTTTTACCATACGAATCTGTTGACAATCTCTATGTGGGAGCCGGCACCATCATGAGCGCCAGTATGGCTGGAACAAAAAGGACGAGCTCTGAGTCCCTATCCAGGACATATCCTCAATCCTGATTTGGCACCTCGGCACTAGGATATCATCCCAATACGTTCTCTCCAGCTCCCTTGCCCGTGCATGACCGCCGTGTGCATATACCGGGATAAATAATGCGAACATTCCCATGGCTAGGCAGGCATTGAGGAATGCGAGGGGCCTCGCCTTCATGAGAGCACAAAGCAAAGCTATAGTTACGTCTAAGCAGCTATGACCGCCCTGCGGATATAAGCGACACAGAAATAGACGCTCTCTAAATAGAAAGCATTGTCGCCATCTTGTGGAGAAAGACCTTCTCAGTCCACCTTGTTGGCTTGAACTTACAGATCAGACTCTGCATTTGTTGTCCGTATAAGCTCGGCTGCGAGGCTTGGTGAGCTTATCGTGCATATGCATCAATCGCTATCTACGCTCGGTGATGGCAAGAAGAGACGGCCAAGTGGGTGACATTGAAATTGAGACACTTAAACATTAAGCTACTAATTCTCAAGTTTGCGACTGGTGTTATTTGATTATCGAGTCCTAATAATACATAATCAGAGATAAAACCGCATATATTATCACTTTGTCTCATTTTCATACTACTGGATTCCTCTATTTATTGCAGAAAGAGGTAGTCGAGAAATAACCACCCTTCCATTGGGTGTCTTATTTCTCCTGTCACCCACCTGGCCATCTTGGGTGGTATTGCAGCCAGCCCGCAGAAGAAGCAGGTACTTGGCGGGATGAGATCAAGATCACGTTGTCCAATCAACAGGGCTCTTTTCGTCACTTGACTGATTACACGCAGCGAGCGGCGATGTCATTGTCCACTGGGATCAAAGGGCTGATCCCGTGGCATAGTGCAGCCGAGTTCGCAGCGCTCTCCTGGCCAGAAATGGGGACCATGTGCAACGATGATTGGTTCAGGGAGACAAGCCGCCTGCCACGGCTAGAGACAGGAAGATCAACGCTGCGTCTGGGCATCGGCATTGTACGCGCCAGCCAGAGATATCAGGGCAGCAAGAGAGGGCGATGTCAGGATGTGAGCAAGCAGGTTGCGCTGAGGCAGATGTGTTGTGCTGTTGATCCAGGGGCGGCGAGGGGGCTTCGTAGGCATCTGCGCACAGCCAAGCCAAAGCGTTGCA